CTTCTTTGGAAGCTTTTAAGCAGAGGCTGGATGGCCATTTGTCAGGGGTGATTTGAATGCAATATTCCTGCTTCTTGGCAGGGGGTTGGACTGGATGGCCCATGAGGTCTCTTCCAACTTTTTGATTCTATGATTCTATGATTCTATGAACTGAACTAGAGGTCCCCTTTCCCCTCCTTAACTCAGAAAAAGGGGTGGAACTAAAGAACATAATGATAATTGATGGGTCATTGGCCCTATGATTGCAAACCAAGGGAAGCCACCTTATTGAAAAATGCATGGAACTTTGGAATACATGCAAACACTCAATAGAAAGGAAAAGAAGTTGGAGCTCCTGGTACAGCCATACAGCGTATGAAGACATTATTGCCATTTGGTTAAATGGGAATTGTGGATCGTGGCAGTATATGAAGTTCCGACAATCTATACTTGGAGTGGGCTGAATCAGTTTCCTTTCTTGGTAGTGTGTATGGTGGACGAAGCCGGCCTGCGTAGGAATTCCATAAAGACTACTTATTGGGACGGAATGATTAAGTTCAGGTGCCTGCTGAGTGATACGAGTGATATGCAAGCATACATTGGCTGTATTTGTGACATGAACCTCTGGCTATAACTCAGTGCAATATTTGTGGTGATATAGGTGTGTCTCCACGTTCTATTGCTCGGATGATGGTGTGACTCAAGGTCGGCGTTCACAATTTGTGCTTTTCTGTGTGAATAGTGTCCAAATAAGGTTATTGGCACCATACTCGCTCGTATTCTCTGGTGTTGGTGCGGATGAGAGTAACATCTGTCCTGAATAGATTGGTGTTCATACTTCTTCTCCTGCATAATAAAGGATTTGTGCAGCATGCATTTTAATGGCTCCCTTCAATTCTCTGTATCAAACAGTTCATGTATCATGTGTTATTATGTGCTGTCCATCATCATATGCTCACTCTCATTATGACTACTGCTACAGATTGTTTTCTGAATCAATGCGTTCATCACTGGGTAGTGATATATCCTAATAAAATGCAGCATATGCCTGAAATGTAAACAATCCTGTGAAAGGTTAGTTATTAGGTACTCAGGAATATTGAAAATAACGAGAAGTGAGGTTGCTGGAAATGTCTGATGTCTTATTTTGGATAGAAACAAAGTTTTATTATTTTATATTATTACTAGCCGCCCCCCTGCCACACATTGTTGTGGCCCAGTCTGTGTACATGTGTTCTGTGTTTGTTTATATGTGTGTGTATATATTTGTGTATATGTGTGTTTGTGTGTGTGTGGTTATGTGCTGTAATGTAATTTTGTTTTTTGGCTTTTTAAGTCTCTTCTGCTGTGTTTTTTCAGTGTTTTTATGAGTGATGGTCACTTGTTGGCCTGATAGGTGTATTGTGTCCAAATTTGTGTCAATTATTCCAGTGGTTTTTGAATTATGTTAATCCCACAAACGAACATTACATTTTTATATATATAGACTAGCCATCCCCTGCCACGCGTTGCTGTGGCCCAGTCTGTGTATATTTGTTTTATGTGTGTATATATGTGTGTTTTTGTGTATATGTGGTTTTCCGCATGCATTGTAATGTAATGTTTGTTTTTTAGCTTTTTAAGTCCCTTCTGCTGTCTTTTTCAGTGTTTTCATGAGTGATGGTCACTTGTTGGCCTGATAAGTGTATTGTGTCCAAATTTGGTGTCAATTCGTTTAGTGATTTTAGAGTTACGTTAATTCCACAAACTAACATTACATTTATATATATATATAGACTAGCCATCCCCTGCCATGCGTTGCTGTGGCCCAGTCTGTGTATATTTTTTATGTGTGTATGTATGTGTGTTTTTGTGTATATGTTGTTTTGTGCATGCATTGTGATGTAATTTTTGTTTTCTGGCTTTTTAAGTCTCTTCTGCTGTGTTTTTCAGTGTTTTTATGAGTGATGGTCACTTGTTGGCCTGATAGATGTATTGTGTCCAAATTTGTTGTCAATTTGTCCAGTGGTTTTTGAGTTATGTTAATCCCACAAACGAACATTACATTTTTATTTATATACTAACTGCCCCCTGCCATGTATTGCTGTGGCCCAGTCTGCATATATGTGTGTGTATTAGGGCTGGGCGGTTTCGTTTCGTAATTTCGTAATTCATTAAAAATTCGTTTTTTTTATAACGAAGCGATATTGAACCATTCAGGAGCAACTAAAAAATGAAACGAATTTTTCCAATTCGTTTCGTAATTGTTTCGTAATTGTTTCGTTGTTGATTCGTTATTGATTCGTAAATGTTTCGTTATTATTTCCGCATGTCTGGTGCAAGTTTTAGGGTTGCTGTTTGTTTTCTCAGTGAAAAAAAATATAATTATCACACCAACAGTCAACAACAGAGGGAGAGGGAAGCTTCAGAAGTTTTTTTAGCGTATTGCGCGATCGCGGCCGCCATTAACGAATCGATTCGTAATCGATTCGTAATTGTTTTATGATTTCTGAAATTTCGTAAATATCGAACTTTTTTTAAGGAAAATTTCGGAATTCTTTTAAATAACGAAACGCAAAAAAAACCCTAAAAACGAATCGAGTTTAGAAACAATTTTTTCCGTGTTTGGACAGCCCTAGTGTATACGTTTGTATATGTTTGTGTATTTGTGTTTATTTGTGTATATGTATATTATATATATATATATATATATATATATATATATAGATATGAATTAAAACTGGCGCCACTTGCATGTAAATATATAGTTGGATTGTTTGATTATCTACAGCTGTCTAGCAATGTTGTTTTGTATTGGTTGAATTGCTCCCCCAGCTCAATTGTTTCACTCCACCCCTTTCTAGGGAGGAGGGCAGTGCTTTCTTTTTCATTCCACCATCAATCAGCTCAACAGATGGACGTGAGAAAGGCTTGGCTCTATGCTCTAGTCAAGTCATCTCTTATAACCAATTCTTAAGTTTATACTCTTAAGATTCATACTTCATGCCCAGCTCACCTGGACGACGTTGAGGAATCTTAAGCGCCTTCAAACCAGTACTTTGGCATCAAGAGGAAGACTTTGTGCCTTCAATATAGGTCATTGGACTGGGGTTGTGAATGTTCCGACTTTCACAGCCATTGAGAAAGAGGGAACTTGGAAAGCTTCTCAGCTGGAAAACTCCTTGGACCCAAGACTCCAAAGACTGTAATGTATGTTTTCTTTACCCCTTTTGAATATCAAGTTAATGCCTCAGAAAGATAACTCCTTGTGAACAATAAAGCCTATTTCGAGTTATCTATAGTGTCTTGATCCTTGAGAGTTCCAGTTCTCTAAAGAAGGGCAAGAAGCAATCCCCTGGGGAAAAGATGTCACGTCCATGTTTCTTTCACTAAGAACCATAGCCCCCAGGCGCGACTGCACAATATATATGTGTGTGTATGTGTGTGTATGTCGTTTTATGCATGTGTAGTATTTTTTATTTTTTGCCTTTTTAAGCCTCTTCTGCTGTGGTTTTCAGTGTTTTTATGAGTGATGGTCACTCGTTGGCCTGATAGGTGTATTGTGTCCAAATTTGGTGTCAATTGGTTCCAGTGGTTTTTGAGTTATGTAAATCCCACAAACGAACATTACATTTTTATTTATATAGATTATTAATGCTTGGTAGGGGACCGGCCACAGGAACATGAAAGAAAAATGATTATTAAATATCAACAAGAAATTTGCATTTCAAAATACCGTAGCCTAGCAAGGTAGGATGCATTTTGCAACATTTTCAAAACTGTAACAAATATCCACACCTAAAAGGAGACATATAGGTAGTTTCTTCCACTGTTGAATAGCTGAAAAGGTCCTATTGTTCAGTGCAAACCACTGACTGCGTAGGGAAGCTGATGAGGAAACACAACATACAAACAATCTACAAACCCACCAAGAAAATTCAACAAATGCTACGTTCAGCAAAGGACAAGAGGGATCCTCTCACCTCTGCAGGAGTCTACCATATACCATGCAGCTGTGGACAAGTCTACATAGGGACCACCAAACGCAGCAGCAAAACACAAATCCAGGAACATGAAAGGCACTGCAGACTACTTCAACCAGAGAAGTCAGCCATAGCAGAGCACCTGATGAACCAACCTGGACACAGCATATTATTGGAGAACACAGAAATGCTGGACCACTCTCACAACCACCATGTCAGACTACACAGAGAAGCCATTGAAATCCACAAGCATGTGGACAATTTCAACAGAAAGGAGGAGACCATGAAAATGAACAAAATCTGGCTACCAGTATTAAAAAAAACTCTAAAATTACAACAGCAAAACAACAAACAGAGAGGAAACAAACGAGGACATCTAATCACCTCTCAACAAAAGATTGCTCCAGGCACTGCCAGGCAATCAAATGCTAATCAAGGTGGTCAGTTGAAACATTCACACCTAGCTCCAGAAGACAAGAGTCCTTTGTCCCACCCTGGTCATTTCACAGAAGGAAGAAACCATGAAAATGAACAAAATCTGGCTACCAGTATAAAAAAACTCTAAAATTATAACAGCAAAACAACACTCAAACACAGGGAAACTCCAGAGAGGAAACAATCAGGGACAGCTAATCACCTCTCAACAAAAGATTTCCCCAGGCACTAACAAGCCACACCAAAAAACTGCCAGGCCATCAAATGCTAATCAAGGTGGCCAACTGAAACATTCACACCTAGCTCCAACAGACAAGAGTTCTTTGTCCCACCCTGGACATTCCACAGATATATAAACCCATTTTCCTAGTTCCAACAGACCTCACTACCTCTGAGGATGCTTGCCATAGGTGCAGGTGAAACATCAGGCAAGAATGCTTCTAGAACATGGCCATATAGCCCGAAAAACCTACAACAAAACTCAAACACAGGGGAGCTCCAGACAAGAAACAATCAGGAACTCCTAATAACCTCTCAACAAAGGAGTCATTATCATGGCTCTGGCTCATTTACATAAACATCTTACACACATTTTAATCCATTTGCATACTTCCAGAAACCCACCTGTGTTGGGGATACCCAGACGTCCTCCCTGGTGGCCAAATACACCAGTGGTCCTCATCTCGTTTTGTTTGGAGAGTGTTGACAAATTTTGGATATATGCCGCTTTGTTCTTTGTATGTATAGAGTTGTAGGTTCTGTTGCTGTCATGTGGGAAAGTCCCAGAATGTGTTTTTCTCTGATATTCAGATCTGTCCGTCACACCCAACGAGACCATGAAGGAGCTCTGAACTTTGACTTTGATGTCCGACAAAGGGTTGAAAAGGGAGGATTCTGTCATGAGTTCCTTGTCAATGGGGTCTTGGAGGCAAATGGGTCCACTGTAGGTTCTACTCACAGTCAGGTCAGGCTGCATGGATGAGTTCAAAAGAAGGGAATTACCTAATGGAAGCAAATCAATTAAGCAGTCAGTTATCGGTTTTATGTACAACATAAAGTATGCACATACAGTAGCACAGTGTACAGAATTAACTAGGTCCTTGTGAGGTTGTAACATGTCTGGATAACAGTATTTTGGAGTGGAAATAGAAGCACACTGAACTGAGTATGACTGCATTTGCAGTAGTAAAGTAATACAAAATGCATTCCTTCATTTGGAAAATCAGATGTCAGAAAAATGTCCTTTAGAGAAATCGGATTCTCTGAAGTACAAAGAGCAAAAGGCCACTGTACACCAAAAGTAATGCAGTTATATAATCATAAGGATGTATATCATATTTATGCTATTGTACTCCAGCATTCAATGTACTAGCAGCTTAACAAAATATATTTAACAAAGATACACAATGCAAAGCTCTAAACCAAAACATTCCCTTATGTGGGATGAACAACTGATTCCTAGAGCAAAATGCACAAGTTTGTAAGTCCTCTTTGAAAACCAAAAGAGGACTCCAAAAAGGACTGACAAACCCACATTAGGAATTGTCGAAGGCTTTCATGGCTGGAATCACTGGGTTGTTGTAGGTTTTTCGGGCTATATGGCCATGGTCTAGAGGCATTCTCTCCTGATGTTTCACCTGCATCTATGGCAAGCATCCTCAGAGGTAGTGAGGTCTGTTGGAACTAGGAAAAAGGGTTTATATATCTGTGGAATGACCAGGGAGGGACAAAGGACTCTTGTCTGCTGGAGCTAGGTGTGAATGTTTCAACTGACCACCTTGATTAGCATATAATGGCCTGACAGTGCCTGGAGCAAACTTTTGTTGAGAGGAGTTTATATGTCCTTGTTTGTTTCCTCTCTGTTGTTGTGCTGTTGTAATTTTAGAGTTTTTTTAATACTGGTAGCCAGATTTAGTTCATTTTCATGGTTTCCTCCTAATCATCTCTCAACAAAAGTTTGCTCCAGGCACTTTCAGGCCAATACACGCTAATCAAGGTGGTCAGTTGAAACATTCACACCTAGCTCCAGCAGACAAGAGTCCTTTGTCCCACCCTGGTCATTCCACAGATATATAAACCCTTTTTCCTAGTTCCAACAGACCTCACTACCTCTGAGGATGCTTGCCATAGATGCAGGCAAAAAGGCAGGAGAGAATGCCTCTAGACCATGGCCATATAGCCCGAAGAAACCTACAACCCACATTAGGGTTTTTAATAAAATAGACTTGCAAAAAAGAACTTACAAACTCTGGGGTGTTGTAGGTTTTTTTGGGATATTTGGCCATGTTCTAGAGGCAATCTCTCCTGACGTTTCAACATCCTGGTGTAGTTTGAGGGAGGATGGACCATAGAATCATAGAATCATAGAATCAAAGAGTTGGAAGAGACCTCATGGGCCATCCAGTCCAACCCCCTGCCAAGAAGCAGGAATATTGCATTCAAATCACCCCTGACAGATGGCCATCCAGCCTCTGTTTAAAAGCTTCCAAAGAAGGAGCCTCCACCACACTCCAGGGCAGAGAGTTCCACTGCTGAACAGCTCTCATAGTTAAGAAGTTCTTCCTACTGTTCAGGTGGAATCTCCTTTCCTGTCATTGGGAGCCATTGTTCCACGTCCTAGTTTCCAGGGCAGCAGAAAACAAGCTTGCTCCCTCTTCCCTATGACTTCCCCTCACATATTTATACATGGCCTTCATCATGACGCCTCTCAGCCTTCTTCTCTTCAGGCTAAGTATGCCCAGCTCTTTAAGCCACCCCTCATAGGGCTTGTTCTCCAGACCCTTGATCATTTTAGTCGCCCTCCTCTGGACACATTTTCCCCTACATGTTGTGATTTATGGGATTCCGTATTTAACTTTTCCACAATAGCCTGACCTTCTTGACTTTTATAGAAATACTTTCCTAATTCAACCAGCAGATATGGACCAGGGCATGTATAATAACATTGGCACGCACATTAAAGTTTCTTCACATAAGACTTTTTTAAAAAAGTGAAGGGAGTCTTCTTTGGTCTTTAGTTCTTTGTTTTCCACTTCTCATTTATACTTCATTTCGAATTCTATGAGTTTACGGTCCCTTTTTTCCTCACTTACTTTTGAACTTTACTTTCTAAAAATAATACATACGCAGAGGAAAGTGTTGAGAAATCTTATTATGGAAAACCTCTGGCCTAGTGAATACTAAGCAAATTGATGACCCCATTTTCCAGAGGGCTATTGATTTCTTCTTCTGCCAGTGCTTTCATATTTCATTGTCTTAATAATTAGAGGGATCTTCACAGAAGAGACCATTGATCAGTACGTGTTGAATTTCTATCCTTTGATTTGCAAGCGTTTTTCGGGTAATTCACAGAACGACTGTAGAGAAGTGCTTATTATACTGTGTTTCAAACTGTGTTTAGGCTTTACATTGTGGCCAGGGCCTAGCTGAGAGAGAGATAGGTTGCCATGGTGACAAGCCAGAGGAGGTGGGCGGAGCTTAGGTAAAAAAGGATTTGAAAGCGACAGTTTATTTTCAGTCAGGCGGATGAGACCCTGAGGAGAGTAGCAGAGTCAAGGAGGCTCTGTGGAGTAGTGTAAATTCAGTTAGTTCTTAGGTTTTGTGAATATTATTCCAGCTAGGAAGTTGAAGGTGGAAACTCGTTAGATTGCTTGAGTAGAAAAGAATCTAACAAGAAAGGGTTTCAGGGATCCCAGTGGTGAAAATCTGGAGATCGTTGGTTTGTTCCGGTGAAGGACAAACAGTTGTAAATATTCACAATAGGGAACACTGAAATAATAAAGTACCTCACTGTAGAAAGAGTTAAAGGATTGTAACATCGGAAGACTTAATGTATCTCAACTAAGCCATATTTGTAACCATCAAGCTTGTGCCAAGTTCAACAGTTAATATTGCAACATTTACGCTCTGATAACAATAAACCTGTTCTTTTTGTGTTTTAAACTTGCCTCCTTCACTGATTTCCATGTTTGAAGCATTCCACACTACCCAAGGTGCCTCACAACACAGATAAGGATAACCAGAGATCATTTTTACCAATATCACTTATATTATGGTGGCAATTTAAGCTAGAAGTCTCAAATCTTTATTACATCTGTGTGGTGATCCTATTTATTTGGGATTTTACACCATTATTTCATTTTGGAGACTTCCTCACATATTTTGGTGGCAGCAAGTGAATGGTTTTAAATTTTTAGTAACAAGCGGTGGGAGTCACGGCTTCGCAACGACATATAGGCACATCACAAAAAAGAGAACTAAATCAGCTTCTAATGGCATATAAAATATTAATTTAATCATATAACCAGCAGCCAAGGAGTACAAACAATACTTGATATGTAGGATAAAACCTGGAGGCACGAACAATCGGAATATTTGACAGTTTGAATTTGCTTCGGTTTCTCAAGTAAGGTGAACCTATCATGAGGTTTCAATAGCAGAAATGGAGCCCGCATGAGTGCAATGGGTTAAACCAGGGGTCCTCAAACTTTTTAAGCTTTTGCTGATGAGATAGGATTGTTGTTGTTGTTGTTGTTGTGCGCTTTTCAGTCACTTTGTGGCCCCATTTCTTGAGGTTGGCTCTGCATCTTGTGGTGCCAGAGCACAGTCTGTTCAGCGTCTTCCAAATCACCCAATCTTCTGTGTGCCTAGGAGTGAGTGAGTCTCTCATTCAGTATCAGCCATGGTTTGAGGTGTCGCATTTTAGCCTGCCACTTTTGGACTCTTGCTTACTGAGGTGTTCCTGTGAATATCTCTGTAAATCTTAGAAAACTATTTCTTGATTTTAGGCATAGGCGTACTGGCTGACACACAGGAAACGGGTCAGAGATGTCACTGCCTTGGTCCTTTCATTATTGGCTGCTACTTCCCGGCGATTTCAGGCGGTGCAATACTGGCTAAACGGTGTAATTTCTCCAGTGATGTTGGTCACTGGCAATAGAAGAGGACCTCAGTTTGCTGCAATAAATATTCACTGAACCTTGAGAGATATTGACAAGCTGGAATGTGTCCAGAGGAGAGCGACTAAAATGATAAAAGGTCTGGAGAACAAGCCCTATGAGGAGCGGCTTAACGAGCTGGGCATGTTTAGCCTGAAGAAGAGAAGGCTGAGAGGGATATGATAGCCATGTATAAATATGTGAGAGGAAGTCACAGGGAGGAGGGAGCAAGCTTGTTTTCTGCTTCCTTGGAGACTAGGACGCGGAACAATGGCTTCAAACTACAAGAGAGGAGATTCCATCTGAACATGAGGAAGAACTTCTGACTGTGAGAGCCGTTCAGCAGTGGAACTCTCTGCCCTGGATTTGTGTGGTGGAGGCTCCTTCTTTGGAAGCTTTTAAACAGAGGCTGGATGGCCATCTGTCAGGGGTGATTTGAATGCAATATTCCTGCTTCTTGGCAGGGGGTTGGACTGGATGGCCCATGAGGTCTCTTCCAACTCTATGATTCTATGATTCTATGGTTCTCAAAAAATGTGGTAGCTCCTATTTTCTTTCTCTCACATATCTTGAAGAAGTATTTTAAATACCGTATATACTCGAGTATTTGCCGACAAGAATATAAGCTGACGCACCTAATTTGACCACAAAAAACTGGGAAAACGTATTGACTTAAGTATAAACTGAGGGTGAGAAATAGAGTCACTACAGGGCAATTTCAAAATAAAAATAGATACCAATAAAATTACATTAATTGTAGGCTACTTTTTAAATACTTACATAAAACTATAATTTAAGACTGCCCAACTCAGATTAAACCATTATTCTAACCTTCTTCAATATAAATGTTCTTACATATCCTTCCAATAATAATAAAGAGAGTAAAATAATAAATGTAATAATAATAATAAAGCAAAATAATGGAAATGTAATAACATTAATAATAGAATAAAATAATAATAATAATAATAATAATAATGCGGCTCTGGAATAAACCAGTACAGGTGGTCCCAGTGGTAATCAGCACACTGGGTGTCATGCCAAAAGATCTCAGCTGGCATTGGAAAACAATAAACATTGACTAAAAGTGATCTGTCAACTGCAAAAAGCCACCTTACTTGGATCTGTGCGCATCATTCGAAAATACATCACACAGTCCTAGACGCTTGGGAAGTGTTCGACTTGTGATTTTGTGATACGAAATCCAGCATATAGATCTCGTTTACTGTGACATACTGTGCTTTTGTGACAGTAATAATAATAATAATAATAATAATAATAATAATAATACGAAATCCAGCATATAGTCAGGAGTGACTTGAGAAACTGCAAGTTGCTTCTGGTGTGAGATAATTGGCCGTCTGCAAGGACGTTGCCCAGGGGACGCCCAGATGATTTGATGTTTTTACCATCCTTGTGGGAGGCTTCTCTAATGTCACCGCATGAGGAGCTGGAGCTGATAGAGGGAGCTCATCTGCCTCTCCCTGGATTCGAATCTGTGACCTGTCAGTCTTCAGTCCTGCCGGCACAGGGGTTTAACTCACTGCGCCACCGGGGGCTCAATAATAATAATAATAATAATAATAATAATAATAAAATAGAGCAAAATAATGGAAATGTAATAGTAACAGTAATAGAGTAATAATAAATGTAATAATTACAATAATAAATAGAGTAAAAAAGTAATAATAACAACAATAATAAAGTAAAATAATAAATGTAATAATAATAATAGTAATAATAATAATAATAACAGAGTAACATAATAAATAACCTTGACTCGAGTATAAGCCGAGGGAGACTTTTTCAGCCTAAAAAAGGGCTGAGAAATAGGCTTATAGTCAAGTATATACAGCAATAATTGTTAAAAGATCACAACAGAGCACTCAGTCCACAAAAGGAAGCATAGTAATACATGACAAAGGGACATATCACAATATTCTTATGTTTAGAATGATGCTGTCCATTTTTTCTTTGTGCCTTCACACTGACAGGACAGGTGATGTGTGGCTTGAGGCCATAGTGATATTACATGTCTCGTGGAGGACACAAACATGCTGAAGCAAATCATACATCCCAACAATATCCCATCAATAAGCAGCAATTGGAATTGTTACAAACCTTGTCTGGCAGTTTTGAAGTTAAATGTCTGGAAGCCTCCTGTAAGAGCCGATGAGTCAATCACATCCACACCGTACTCGCTCTGGCTCCGTCTGTAGAGAGTCACACCAATGACAATGACCGCTACGGTGATGACCGCGGCACCCAGGCCTGAGTATAAGGCAATGTCTGTTGCGTTCTCAATGTCTGCAAAGATTGAAAGTGCGGCACCAACTAAGCAACGGCTTCCTTCTCAATAGTAAAACACATATTAATGAATTAATTAAAAGTAGACATGGACTTCAAAAGTTCAGCTTTACATCCAAACACAGAAATTCCTTCTCGAGGCTTTGCTTTTTGGTAGGCTTAATTTGGGAAACACTGCTGAAGTTGTTTGCAATTTATAATGTATGTATGTATGTGCTGGTACGTCTGTACCAGTAGCTCCAACTTCATTTTCTTTCTATTAAGTGTTTGCATGCATTCCAAAGTTTCAGGGATTCTGCAAAAAAGGTGGCTTCCTTTGGTTTGCAGTCATAGGGCAAGCCACCTGTCTATCATTGTTAAGTTTGGATCCGCCCCTTCTCCCAGGGAGATGGGAAGGGAAGAGGGAGCCATTTTTTGTTAGTCTTAGTGAGGAAAGCTAAGTTAGAGGATGTGGACAAGCTTCACCTGCAAAAAAGCTTCATTTTTCAAGACATTCTGGGGGGAAATTCCCAAAGCTCTGGCTGGGAGCTTGCAGCCTCTCAGCCTTACAGCATCTGAGGGAAACAGCCCTGAAGTCTTAAAGAAATTCCAGAGGGAAAACAGCTTTACAGACCCAAAGAACTCCAGCTGGAGAATCTACAAGTTTTGTTTGGTAGGTTTACTCGGTACCAAGACGCAGTTTGGAATCGGTAGTAGATCCCACACCAACAAAACTTAGATAACAGACAGCCTGGGAGAGGTTAAAAAAGGGTTTTCCTCTCAAAGTATAAGAACAATTAACGAAGACAGTTGCCTGTCCCTTGTGGACAAGATTAAGGAAGCCACCAGTTGATTTAAAGCCTTGAAGCATTTGTTTGACTCATTGAAGATTTGAGAAATATCTGTTTAATTTGTTCAATAATAAAGGACTTTGTTTAACCTTTCAAGCCATCTAAAGACCATTTCTTCAGGAAAATCCTTGAGGGCCTCTTTCGTGGCACCCTGGCTTCCCGCTGGGCACAAGGTGCACGTCCTATTTCAAAAGACAATTATTACAGGCCCAGTGCGTGACAGAACAATGTATGTTTAAAATGCAGCAGCTATGTGCCGAGTGTAATATATTCCTGTGTGGAAAGAGTTAACTGAACCATTGAGGGAATGGCATTCCTAGAGAGGTCATAAATCAAGTGTATAGAACAAATGGACGCAGCGTCGTACGTCATACGTCACTCTGGAATGCAAGAGGTGTGGACTAGTACTGATAAGAGTTAGTCTGTTTGCAATGTTACAATCGGATGGTAAAGAAGCAAGTTTATGATGTGCTGAGTGTTAAGTTCTCAACCTGGGGTCCCCAGATGTTTTTGGCCTTTAGTTTCCAGAAAACCTAACAGCTAGTAAACTGGCTGGGATTTCTGGGAGTTGTAGGCCAAAAATATCTGGGGACCCCAGGTTGAGAACCACAATTCTAATGTATATAGCTGTAAAATAAAGTAGTTTATAACCTGGCTGTGATTGATCTGTTCCTGCCTTGTTGTGCTGGCGATGCCACTGACAAACACATCCTGTGCAACCATTGGACTAGTCACTATTTGCACTCCATAATCGATATGGTGATGGATAGAGACAAGTATGGAAAAATTGCACATATTTACAGTATGCATAGAAAGAATGGGGGACACCTCACTCGGCAGCAGTACATGTGAAAAAGATCTTGGGGTCCCCGCGGACAACAAGTTAAACATGAGCCAACAATATGATGCGGCAGCAAAAAAAGCCAATGGGATTTTGGCCTGCATCAATAGGAGCATAGTGTCTAGATCCAGGGAAGTCATGCTATCCACAATATACCTGGAATATTGTGTCCAGTTCTGGACACCACAACTGAAGGGAGATGTTGACAAGCTGGAATGTGTCCAAAGGAGGGCAACTAAAATGATCAAGGGTCTGGAGAACAAGCCCTATGAAGAGTGGCTTAAAGAGCTGGGCATGTTTAGCATGCAAAAAAGAAGGCTGAGAGGAGAAATGATGAGGGGCATGGATAAATATGTGAGGGAAAGTCATAGGGAGGAGGGAGCAAGCTTGTTTTCTGCAGCCCTAGAGACTAGGACGTGGAACAATGTCTCCCAACAACAGGAAAGGAGATTCCACCTGAACATTAGGAAGAACTTCCTATCTGTGAGAGCTGTTCAGCAGTGGAACTCTCTGCCCCAGTATGTAATAGAGGCTCCTTCTTTGGAGGCTTTTAAACAGGGACTGGATGGCTATCTAGGGGTGTTTTGAATGTGATTTTCCTGCTTCTTGGCAAAATGGGGTTGGACTGGATGGCCCACAAGGTCTCTTCCAACTCTATGATTCTAAGAGCTGAGAACATCGACTCTGGAACTCACTTCCCAGGGATATCAGGCATGCCCCAACATTGGCAATCTTTAGGAGCCTGAAAACATGGCTGTTCCCAGGAAAATGTCCTCAGAATGTACTTTAACTATTCATTGGATTGCGCTCCCCTCACTTCTTTTAAAACCCTCCTACCAGATATATCCGACCTTGTTCACGCCCACAGTTTATTTTTTTCATTTTAAAATATTATATTTGACCGGGCCATAGGTTTTTTAAATCCTTGTGTGTTAATGTTGATATGTGATTAATATTAATTGTTTTGTTTTTGTTTATCGCTTTCTTGTTTTATTGATATGTTGTTGGGCTTGGCCTCATGCAAGCCGCTCCGAGTCCCTTGGGGAGATGGTGGCGGGGTATAAATAAAGTTTTATTATTATTATTATTGTTATTATTATTATTAACAGAAGGAAAGGTTCAAGGCTGGATGCAATCCTAAAATGTGCTCACAATTGGCACCATTGCAAGAAGATGTACAATAAGGAATACATTGGGTTGTTGTAGGTTTTTTCGGGCTATATGGCCATGTTCTAGAGGCATTTTCTCCTGACGTTTCACCTGCATCTATGGCAAGCATCCTCAGAGGTAGTGAGGTCTGTTGGATACAAAAAAAACCCCAATATCACTGCGGCCCTGCAATTTCGTTCTCCGTTTAAAACTCTCCAGACAGAAAAAAAGGCATTAATCTTTGTCAGCGGGACCAATTAGGTAGTGGAACGGTGAAGGCTTGTTGCAACATTTCCAGGACAATGTTACTTCAGCAAATCTGCAGGGATTCCACAAACATTCCTCAACCATTTTTCCTCATAATTTAAAACTGAGACATGAAACTATTCATATATGTCAAGAAATAGAAACATTTCAGTACATAACACACTCTTGTCTTCATGCATTTATTCTTTGCATATAAAAGACATCACAGGCCATGGCATCCAAACTCTGCAATGCCCTGCTAAAAGGTTGGTGTTAAATGATGATGACCTTGCTTCCTTTTCTATGACAAATCAAAATATTCATGTTTGCACAGACATTTACTGTACATACTCGAGTATAAGCCGACCTGAATATAAGGCGAGGGACCTAATTTTACCACAAAACACTGGGAAAACTTATTGACTTGAGCATAAGCCGAGGGTGGGAAATGCAGCAGCTACTGATAATTTTCAAAATAAAAATAGATACCAATAAAATTCCATTAATGGAGGCATCAGTAGGTTAAATGTTTTTGAATATTTACCATGGCTAGCTCTGTAAGTGGAAAAGTAGGGTCAACAAACATGATATGGTATCAATAATAATAATAATAATAATAATGTATTTATTTCATATCAAAAGCATTGCATAAATTAATATAAAACTGATAAAAATAGAAGGTGTGCAGGCAGCTAAATATCTTTTGACCAAAAACGGGCAACAGAAACAGCATTGTCTGTAGCCTCCAACAATTCCTCCTCTGTACATGAGGCAGGGCACAATGGACAAGCATGCTGTGCTGTCACGTGCTGGGCTGATAGCAGTTGGCTTTGGAACAGGACGTGCTCTTTGTGCCCAGTGGGAAGCCAGGGTGCCTCAGCTGAGAGGCTATATGGATTTTCCTATACAAAAGTCTTTAAAAGCTTGAAAAGTTTAACAAGGTCCTTTATTATTGCTTAGGTCTTCAACAAAACAATCAAGCTTCTAAAGACTCTGTATAGCAAAAACCTTAGGGCCTCTCAGTCGAGGGACCCCGGCTTCTCGCTGGGCACAAAGAGCATGTCCTGTTCAAAAGCCAACTGCTATAGGCCCAGCGCGTGACAGCACAATACTGTTTAGCTAGTAATGCACCACCTGACATCTGCCGGGAAGTAGCAACCAATAGTGAAAGGACCAAGACAGTGACATCTTCAGCCCATCCACTGTTCAGATATCAGCCATCACGCCAATGACTTAAATCAAGAAATAGTTTTCTAAGATCTACAGAGATACTTGCAGGAATGCCTCAGCAAGCGAGAGTCCAAAAGTGGCAGGCTAAAACCCAGAACTTCAATCTGTGGCTGATACCAAATGAGAGACTCCCCCCTGGGCACACAGAAGACTGGGCAACTTGGAAGACGCTGAACAGACTGCGTTCTGGCACCATGAATGCAGAGCCAACCTTAAGAAATGGGGCCACAAAGTGGAGTCTACGACATGCGAGTGTGGAGAAGAGCAAACCACAGACCACCAACTACAATGCAACCTGAGCCCTACCACATGCACAATGGAGGACCTTCTTAAAGCAACACCAGAGGCACTCCAAGTAGCCAGCTACTGGTCAAAGGACATTTAATATAATGCTAAGTTTTACAACTTTGTGCTCTTTAAATACATTATAGCTGTACCCTCGGTTTGCTACTGATATGATAAATAAATACCGGGAGTTCCAGTAGATCAGATGATGCTTATTTAATTCTATTTCTACTCCCTGGGAATATACAAAAGTATATTATGACAATGATAATGTCACCTTTCCAACTTTTTTAAAAACAAATCCAAATTTGGTAGCAGGACACGAAATATTGGCAGTAAAACGTCACACTGACAGTGGCACAAATTCTGACACTGACACATGTAATTGTCAAAATAATCGTAACACCTGATAGACCCTA